CACACACGTCACTTGCTTCCTATCCTCTTTGAACCTTCCAGCCAGGAATGTAGGTTGTCTTAGTAAAGTGGAGCAAGCAGCAACAGGTCCACCTCGTGAGAGTTTGAGGATACTACTGTGCTCACATTTTGAGACAAAGAAGAGGCATCTACAGCAAACAGAGAATCTCTGCTTCCAGGGAAAGAAGCAGCATTGCTGAATTTGTACTGAGTGTATTTTGAGGTGTCCAGTTGAATCGAGGTCACACTGGCTGGATTGAGCCAGCAACAGGTCAACCATGACAGCTTGGCATTTGCTGGACATTTGGAAGAAGGTAAATATCACCTTTAGACTAGGGGATGATGTTGGGACCACATGAGAGCTGAGGGCTTGCATCATCCACCCCCCCCCTTTTTTTTTCGGTTCATTATTGGATGAAGTAACTTGACTTGTGGGACTCTTTAAACCTGTTTTATGATTAACGGTTCAAGGCTGACTCAACAGAATATTGGGTCTATCTGGAGAAGAAATATGTCAATGTTACAGCAGGGTTTTGTTATCTCGAGGGCAGAGAACATTACAAACATATTTTCCTATCCTGTTGCGCATCATTTCAGGCATGCAAAAGCCAGTACTCCCATTCCCTATTTGTATCAACCATGTCTTTTCTCACGCTTGACTTTGGTTTCAAACCACAAGTCACTTCAATGTTTTCTCACAAATATTCAGCTCTATGCAGAATCACACCACTTAACAAGTACTCTAGAAAGGATTATTAATGGCCACGTCTTGCTGACACGATGGAAATATAATGATGGCGCAAAAGGGATTTTTGTACGTCAGTTTTTTGGTGTTCTCATTGCCAGTTAGAGCCACAAGAGCAGGCCAAAGTGGCTGATTTCCAATGTGTAATCTAGCACAAGGGATTTAAATGAGTCGACGTATGTTACCTTCTCAGTGGCCACAAAAACCTGCAGCTAAATACCCTCGACCATATGGAGCGTGAGTCTGTGTCCTGTCAGCATAAATCACATCTTAAGAGTTGAAGCAAGAAGTACAAATCGCTCCAAAACACAAAACAAAATAAAACAAAAACAAAAGCAATGGCACATATGAAGAATGTTTAAAAAGATACATTATTCTTGGTTGCTTTTTTACTCTCATTGGACATTTTATTAGATACGTTTGTATAATGCAATAGGGTCAAGATGTCAATTTACTTATATGCATAATACAGTAATGTATATTTTAGCATCAAAAAAGTTTTACAATTCCAATTCATTAAAAAAAAAGAAAAACATGTTTGCCTCCTTTCTATCTATCTATCTATCTATCTATCTATCTATCTATCTATCTATCCATCCATCCATCCATCCATCCATCCATCCATCTGCATTTTACTGCCCTAGATCACCACTGTCACATCCGACTGCCGCAGTTCCAGTCGCTCCACCTCTCTCTCTCTCTCTCTCTCTCTCTCTCTCTCTTGCTCACTCTTGATACTATCAGAGATTTGTGTGGGCAGTCCTGTTTCCACCACTTCAGTCAGGATCCCAAGCTCGCATTCTGAAAATGTCATCTTTCCCTTGCTAACTGCCATTGTTCTGCCAGGCTGTTCTTGGGGCAGAGCCAGCATTGATACTTTGCCATGTGGGGCAGCCACGGTGCAAACCGCAATCAGCTGTGAAACTTTGTGGGCATGTTTGTGCTGGTAGAAGCACAATATCCTTTGTGAATAAGATGTTAAGATGGAGCAAACTGCGGGTGCAAATGAAATGCAATTGAAGGTGCTATTAGCGGGCACGGTTCATATTTGTGGGTTTGGCACTCAGTCTTTTGAAATAATTTAACCAAAAATTGAAGCCGAATATTATTTCATTTGAACATACGTTCAAAAAAAGACTAATATTGACTTGAAAACATGTACTGGAGTTTTTCTTTTCACTCAGAAATTCTAAATACAATTAAATAACAGAGTTTTTGAGTAAATTCTACTTGCATAGTATTAGTTAAAACAAGAAAGAATTCACTCAACGGTTGAGGAATAGACCAACAACCTTCAGTTTTGGGGGGCAGCCCTTCTAACACCTGAGACATGCCGCTCCTCCTATGCCCGAGTGTATTGCTGGTGTCAGGCGGAATACTCGTACTTTCAAGCGGAAACCATTTTTGTGCTCTACTTTTGGAGACAGCCATTATTAACTACAGTAACGTGTAAGTATAGCTTCGGTGGTAAAATGGCTGCCTCCCAATATGAAAGTTGTGGGTGTGTTCATCAAGTTACCATTTTTATTTTATTTTTTTTAAATAAATGAATACTAGGCAAGTAAAATTTACTCAGAAATTCTCTTTATAAAATTTTTGACTGGAAAAAAAAAAACAACTATTTTTTTCCCCCGAGTAAATATCACTCCAAAATCTTTTCAGTGTAGTCGAACTATGTTCAAGTGAATTTAGAGGGTAGTACAGGAAAGAACATACATTTGATTCTCAATCTATGTTAAATTACACTTCGTGAATACCAGAAAACCCTGTGAGTTTCAAATTACATGAAACCTGAATTCAACTGTTCAGGCAGATTTTTAGAAAAATTTTAAATATGTTATTGTGGTTCCACGCTGCAGTGGTAGAATTGCACTGCACCATACCGAGAATTATTATGTCTTTGACCGCATTTAGAGCGAGAGGATGACATGAACAAATTATTAGAAGCACCTCACAGTATGATGTACACTAACCACACAATTTCATTCCATGAAAAAGTTTCTTACAGCTTTCTCATATTTGCAAAGGCAGCGCTTGTGTATCGGTTTTCAAATTAAAGTATGTGTTGAGACCGGTGGTGTACAATCTGTTCACAATCATAAAAGACCTACTGGCTGCAAAACATATGTCACCGTTGTTTTTATGAATATTATTATCTGGAAAATAAAACATTTAATGAAAAATAAACTTTCATTTCCTCACACAGGATATTCATGTGAGTCAGGGGGCCGCAGACATCTCGATGGACATGGACCGCCTGAACAGGAATGCGCCAGAGAGTGGCACACAAGCCCGCCAGGTGTTAAAGGTGAGAGTGTGTTTTGAATACGTATCATAGAGCTATACGGTATGTAGCTGTGAATTTAGACAGGAAAATAAAACTAAAGAGAAGATGAATATTCTATGATTGGAGTACTGCAAATCTGGAGTGCATCTTCATTCATAAATGGCCTCGATATTCTCCCTAAACCAACCATGCGAGTTGGTAGGACGGTTTACAGGGGCGGATGGAAATTACTGACTCGCTGTGGCGACCCCTGAATAGGGATGTGCCGAAAGGAGAAGAAGAGGAAGGAGATTCTCCCTAAACCAGGAGTGTCAAACTCATTTTAGTCGTGGGGCAGTTTAGAGCTACGGCTTCCCTCAGAGGGCCGTGATGACAGTGAAACCACAAAATTATTACTTTTACATAACAAATTAGTAGATTACTAGTTTTGAAATCAGTCAAGTCAATTATAATGTTTTGTTCAATTTTTGTACAAGTGAGTGTAAACTGCGTAACAAAATTAATGCAAAATCTCAACGTTATTTATTACACATGACAATTTGACATTTCGGTACAGATTTTAGCAAGATGACACACACGATTTGCTTTTGCGGGCCACATAAAATGATCTGGCGGGCTGGATCTGGCCCCCGGGCCTTGAGTTTGGCACCTGTGCCCTAATCCATGTTAAGTGAATTAACACCATTATCCCAAATGGCCAGCCAGTCAGAGCAGCTCAGCTCAGGACATGCGCTGACAACATACAGTAGATGAGCATGTTGTAAAACAGGAATCTTCCACCGGAGTCAGTGATTAGTTGAAACCAGAAATGGAATGCCTCATTTCCTTTGCCCTATACGTGTCCCCTTTCGTCGTTTGAGCGTGGCTGACAGAGAGCTACATTAGACTCCAATGACTAAATATTACGCATGGGACAGTTAATTATTTCTCATTTAATCTGTTTGTTATTTATTTTATACAATACAATGAAATAATAGAAGGGGGAGGAAATACATCCACCATGATTACATTTTCAGTCTAATGCAGTGAAAGAAGATCACTCAATAGGACAAATGTCCTGCACTCGAGTTTTCTGACTGAAACAATTCTTTCATCAGTGACAATACTGGTCCTATAAATCCATTCTTCCTTCCTTCCATCCATCCATCCATCCATGCATCCATCCATCCATCCATCTGTTCATTTTCCGATCACTTTATCCTCACAAGGGTCGCGGGGATGCTGGAGCCTATGCCAGCTGTCTTCGGGCAGTAGTAGGGGGGCACCCTGAACTGGTTGCCAGCCAATCGCAGGGCACACACAGACGAACAACCATCCACACTCACACTCACTCCTAAGGACAATTTAGAGTGTTCAATCAGCCTGCCATGCATGTTTGTGGAATGTGGAAGGAAACCGGAGTACCCGGAGAAAACCCACGCAGGCATGGGGAGAATATGCAAACTCTACACTGGAATCGAACCCTACACCTCTGCACTGACAGAGGCGCTAACCAGTCGACTAGCGGGCCGCCCGCATCTATAAATCCCTCTTTTAAATCGTGCTAAAACATTTTGAACTTTTGGGATGAGTTTTGAATGGGCCCAAACGGGATGTTAGCCTCAACTCACTGCATAACAAACATAAAACATGCTATGACATATGATCTAATTTGACTCACTCATACACAGCTGATACGAGGCTGCGGCCCAGTGGTTGGAGATCCCTACTGAATAGTGCACATAGAGTAGTGGCTCATTGAGAGGTTAATGCATAGTGTGCCTCATGGGTGCACCAGCACTCTATGGTAGAGACAATTTCTGCATTCCTGCTGTCCAACACTTCCTCAACCCCATTACCACAACACCAGCTTAACAGGTCACAGAGGCCAAGGCAATGGCCATGCGCAGGTGGCGATCGATAGTGTGCGGACTCAAGTAAAAACAGACCAAAAGATAAAGCTTCTTTTTTTTTAATTTAAGTGACAGTGACTCCACACCTTACAGTCCATATTTAATTATTTAAGTGACAGTGACTCCACACCTTACAGTCCATTTCATAATTTACAGAACATACAATTTCTTCTTCTTTCTCAATTCAAAGTGTGCCAGTATGTAGCTAATTTTCATTATAATTGAACTTTGGTTGTGGATGATCACAGTCGATGATTCCAGACAATGACACTGGGTAAAAAAAAAAAGGAAATCAGCATGTAATTTGGTATATTGCAGACATTTGTCCCATTCCTTGTTCTCTACAATCATCACTTTTCGGGTAATATACAAATGGCATGTTTGCTGAACTGTAAACGTTGCATTGTGAAAGGAAGCAAGACATTTTTAACACATTTAGATTAATCAGAAATTTGTACAAACAGCGCGCACACACATGTAGAATAAAGAATAATATGTCCCCCCCCATGCATTTTCCTATCCGCTTTATCCTCACAAGGTGGGTGCTGGAGCTTATCCCAGCTGTCTTCTGGCAGTAGGTGGGGCACACCCCGGAAATGGTTGCGAGCCAATCACAGGGCACACAAAGACAAACAATGAGTCACACTTACTCTCACACCTAGGGACTATTTAGACTCTAAATAGTGCCCAATGAACTTGCCATGCATGCTTTTGGAATGTGGGAGGAAACCAGAGTACCCGGAGAAAACCAATGCAGGCACGGGCAGAATATTCAAATTTCACACAGGAAGGCCACAGTCCGGATTCAAGCCCAAGGACTGTACTGCCAGGCAGACGTGCTAACCAGTTTACACCATGCTGCTCCAATAGCCAGAGATATGTGCAAGCTATATATATATATATATATATAAAACTACCGAAAAATACTCAAACCATTTTCTACTCAATCTGAGACAAAAATATTAGTTATGCTGCGGATCACACGCTGATACACAGGAGAAGAATAACAAAGACAACAAATTCTGCCCATGTAAGCTGCAGACAGAATTAAAAAAAAAGAAATATATCAGTTCAAATTCAGCCAACGCTGCACTTTAAAGCACTCATCACATGCCAGGAACAGCATTTCTCTGAATTGTGGAGCGCTGATTTTATGGCAACACCCCTGCAGACAAACACACTACTGTATTTCCTTCAGTGTGTTGAGGAATGCGCAAAAGCACTTGTGTTCGAACTATGGCCCCGGGGCCATTTGCAGTGTTGCTGGCCTGCATTTTACGACTTCCTTTCAACATGGAGTTGTAAGGAGGCGAAGAAAAGAAACATCTTCTTATCTCACATCTCTTGCTTTCCACCCATAAGACATAACATTTATTTTAATAGGGCCCCTATGAAAAATAAAAGATAATTCGGTTACAGTAGCAATTAACATAACACATGCCTGTGTGCTCAAATTTCTGCCGCATGTCAAGGTGAGCTTCGTCCAGATTGCTCTTGCTTTGATTCTGCTGCTGCTCAGTGCAGGAGCCAATACGAAGGTTGCAACCTTTCAGATCTGGAAATAAGGGAAAACTATGAATTCATAGAATCACATCGATCCATCCATTTTCAGATCCGCTTATCCTCACAACGGTCGTGAGCGTGCTCAAGCCTATCCCAGCTGACTTCTGACAGGAGGCGGGGTAAACCCTGAACTGGTTGCCAGCCAATCGCAGGGCACACATAGACGATATTTGCGCGCACAATACACAGAGGGACACTTTAATGTGTTCCATTAACCTGCCATGCATGTTTTTAGAATGTGGGAAGTAACAGGGAGAACATGCAAATTCCAGAGAATCACATGTGTTCTTTTTTTATCTGAAAAAACAAAATGCTTTAATTTCATTGACATTATTTAACATGTCATATTAGCCTCTGGGCCTAGGGGTCACTTGGTGGTCAGTCAGGAAGGAGAAGTCAAGAGAGCATTTAGACTCACTTCAAGTTTAAAGTGCTTAATTAGCAATGAACATTGTTATTATTATTTATTTTTTTTTACAGACTGAAGTAGCCTGAACCTGGGCATAGTCTATAGGCTATTAAAATGTCAAGTCAGCTTTATTGTCAAATATACTCTATGTACAACATACAGCACAGGTGAAATGCCTTTCCTCTCAACCACAGTTCAAACATGCAGTGCATTGAAAACACATACAGCTAAAATTAAGGGCAGCGAAACTGAACTGCATAAAAAAGACATAAAGACATAAATATATGACTATAAACAAATAAAACAATACAATGTATTGTATTGTATTGTAAATAAAACAATAAATAGCAATCAATAGACAACCAAGGGCACTTGTAATTATTGCGGGTTAAAGTTAGTGCATTGTTTAAGCGCAATAATCGGATGTCAGATGCTGAGGGAGGGTCACAGTCTGTGGTAGTAGGCAGGGATAGGTGGCGTGGGGGGGGGGGCAGAACAGGGAGGGAGTTGAGTCTCCTGATCGCCTGGTGGAATAAACTGTTCTTGAGCCTTGCAAATTAAACAAAGATTTGTACTTCAACACTTATAACAATTGTAAAACACTGAATAGCCTGAACTTGAGCATATAGACCTGGACTACTGTATTGTATACATATAAAGTGTATAAAATGCTGTAAATTAAACAAAGCCTGTCTGGGGACGCTTTTACTGAAAGAGGACAATACTTAAATTAAATAGGCTATAAAGTGCTACAAATGCAACAATCGGGGATGCCTTCACTTTTAAGAAGAAGAAAACATGAAACACTTGTAAACTTGTGCGATTAAATGTTCAAGGTTGAATAAACTGAACGTGAGCATACTGTGTTACATGCATATACTGTAGAGTGCTGTCACAGCTATAAAAAAGCTTGTCTGGGGACACTTTTACTATAATAAAAATAACTATAATATAATGAAACACTTGTGTGAACCCAAATGAAAAGATGAAAAAAATGGCAAAAAGTGCAAAACAATCCTCTTCCTCAACCCCGTCATGTGCCTGATCACGGCTAAACATTCAACAGCTTTCCCTTTCTTCTCCCCTGTGCTACTTCTTCCAAAAGCACTTCTTGTTACTCCTTGCAACTATGATTTTCAAAGCAGTGCCGTGAAAGTGAACAGGATTGCTCAAAGTATGCAGTGAGCATACTTTGAGCAATGAGTTACTAGCCACATGAACATGACAGATAGTGGGAGCGCAACGGGGCTGGGCTGCCTGCGTGCAGACAGACAGACAGACAGACCGACTGAGGATTTGGCCCAGAGCAGAGGAGAACGCACCAGATGTAGACTACACTCGCGGGTCCGCGGACCTCCTGCCAATACCATGTTGCTGTCTTGAATATTTCCTGTCTTTTATTTTGTTCATTATTATTAAAATCAGTGTTCACCTTTGTGTGTGACAGACGCATGGGACAATTAGGAAAATACGGAACAAACTGCCTCCCGTATAGAACCAGTATTGGAAACGAGATTTAATTCCCAATTATAGGACAATTCCTTATTTTACAGAACTGGTGGCAACCTGAGCGGATACTATGGTATGTTCCAATGAGATACAGGGCTACTGGCAATTCCAAAATCCTGAAAAATCCTTTTTTTTCCCCTCATCGCATAGCTATTCTTCTATCGTAATAAATGTATTACATACAGCATATTCTTATATACAATGCTGGATTACTTTTTGAGTGTTATTGTAAATATAATCAAGGGGAATCATTTCAAAGAGGCCCTTGCATTCTTTGATTTTTCTAAACGGGGTCCATTGAAGTAAAAGTTTGGACATCCCGGTGAAAACAGTCACCGATTCTAATCATTTCATGTCAAGACATTGATTAAAGCCCTAGGGTGATGGGTAAAGCTCTTCAAGTGGAAGCATAGTGACGCATTTGCAAGCCTGTATTACGACATCATGTGTCACCGCTTAACACTTTAAGATAATTGTCAGGACATGACAACTGATGTGAACCATTCATAGTGTGTAATGTATACTGTCGTTCCAACTAGAGGCAGACATTTTTTTACGGGAATCCCCGGAGCCAATTTTGCCTTCAATCACTGGATTGGGACAGTACAGGATACAAAATTCACAGCAAGAGATGGGAGTGGGATTATCCAATCTGAACCCCCCCACCCCTCCAAAAAAAGAAACTCGAAAATTCCATTAGGACAAAACTGTGAGTAATGAGTAAAAGGCAACTGTAATTTGTTTTTGAAGTGGCTGACTTCCAAAATGGGAGTGGTACGGGAGTGGGAGTCATTCTGACTGGGGCGAGCAGGACAGTTTTTTGTTTTTTTACTTTGGTTCACTTCTGGGATGAGGATGGGATTGGATTTTTTTTTTGTGGGAGTGGGATGATTACAGCCTCTGCTCTCGTTCCTTTGAATGATGAGTGTTACCCTCTAGTTCCATCACCTTATGAAATTAAATGTTAATAATGATGCTCTATCTGATGTACCACAGAAATATGGTATACGTTAACATTTCAAAGAGAAAATCACTCATTCATCTTAAAATGACCATTAACCATTTTATGCACCCTATAACCTGATAAATGATAAGCTGTCCACTGTAGTAACCGCTGTCCCTGAAAGGGTTTAAATGGTTTAAAACCTAGTAATCACAATGATAAATTTTCTGGCCTTGGTGTTTCTCAACAGAGCACTCCACTGGATGTGATCGAGACTGGAAAGGGATTGAAGTTCCAGGCTGAGCGCCCTCATCTCGTCAGCCTAGGTAGTGGACGTCTGAGTGTTGCCATCACTCTGCTGCCTCTGCCTGAGGGTGAGTATTTTGCTGTACCTCACCTTTATGATGTAAAGTTCCTCCCCTTACACAACACTCTTGTCAGTTACAGTGGAAAGCTCGTTTTCACCTCACTGTCCTCTTTCTTTCAGTGTTTGCTGGCAGGTTTCTGCATGTGTAACCCTTTGGCCTTGTCTGCTTTTGCTGCGTGTCTCTTTAGCCACACCAGCTTTCCCTTTATGTGTCTGTGTCTATTGAGGCTGGTACACAGGGTGTGTTTCTTGACACATACCTGTGCAATTTTGCAAGTCCAGAGGCCAAAGCAATATTAGTCTTCTCTGTATTGGACTGGTAGAGCGATGCTGCAATTGATTCCAAGAAAAACAGAGACCATATTATCCATCATATGGGCAAAAGGTTTGGGACATACACTTCAGTCAGTGAATTAAATAATTCGGGCTCTGTTTTTGTGACCGGAGTAAATCCTGCATGGCTCGTGTCGTATATCTACGAGAATATGGGTTTGATCCAGTGTTGGTAATTTCCCAGACAAGCACAAGAGTGCCCCCAATTTACTTCAATCGTGGCCAATGACCACCAAAATGGCTCCTTTCATTCCCTTTAAATGCAGCACACTAATAGTGCACTCGAGTCTCGGCGTGGCAGAAGCACATCTGTGCCGTGAAGTGGACTTGGAGGACACCCCTCCTAACACCCCTGGGATGATTAAAAAAAAAAATCATCACAATGATTCAATGGCTTTGGTGATTGCTGTATTTAGAATATATACTATATAATACTGTATAATATACATACATATATATATATATATATATAAAATAATGATTATTATTACTAATGTTATTGAGGCGGCCCGGTGTTTATCTATATATCTATATATATATAGATATATATATACACATACACCGGTCCGCCTCAATAATAATAGAAATGATAATAATAATAATAATAATAATAATAATAATAATAATTGTTTTTCTTATTTTATAATTATAATAATATTTATTTGTAAGGTTGAGGTTCAGCAAAGATTTTTTTCTGGAATGTCAAAGCTGTTGTGAATTACAACGCATGGTAAAATCTGTATTATGCAAACTTGTATTGGGAAAATTTAACAACAAAAAATGTTTTTTGTTTTACCCAAGTAAATCAGCATCAAAACAAATTTTGGGAACACATAAAGCCTGATTTTCACCTTGACGGCTGCTAAAGGTGCATTCCACTTGGTCACCTGGTACCCATCAGTTGCAGTCCCAAAGGTGAAAAAGGTTCAACTCCTTCTTCAGCTTGATGACATCACTTACCGTTGGTGTCCCCCAACCGTTTTGTGGATTGCTGACACGATAGGCACCGATCACCTTTCAGCCACAGCTCCGATTGGTCCATTCGGACTGAGTTCGATGTCCCCCCGCCTCCCCCGGGACGTGGGTAAAGTTCTGCTGGAGTTCTGCCAGCTCACATTGCAACTGACCACTGTGGCCCCTCCCACAGGTGGTTAGCCAGACAGTATTACAGAGTATTTACAGACTGTAGCTTGTCATTTTTAGCATCAGTGACAGTTGTTATCTTATTTGGTCTTGTGTAAAACAGGTAGAGGAGTGTGGGAGGGTGTGAAGCCATCAGGGAAGGAGAAGAAAGACTGTCAAAATTTTAATGGTGCCCCTTATTAAACATAACATAGTGCGGAGATCTATCTATCGATCTATCTGTCCGTGCGTGTGTGCGACTTTGTGGACCCCCTTACAATGCTTCCTTCTTCTCCACAGGCCGTACAACTATAGGTCATGGTCCAATGGACATCAACATCCAAGGCCCGGGGGTGGAAGCTCAACATTGCTACATAGAAAATAGGTCAGGGGTCATCTTGTTACATCCCTGCGGGAATCTATGCGCTGTTGATGGACTCCAAGTGACACAACCGATCCGCTTGTCCCAAGGTAAGATTCTACTCTAACGTAAGGCGCTTTGACACGGACAATCTCTTTAGCGTTTTCATGACTTTATTTCCCGAATCACTGTCCTGTGTGTAAGGCAGGAAGAAGGTTTGCATGTGACCTGCAAATTTCCGGGCTTCTGATGTAGTATCAGATTTTTGGGGTCTCGCAAAAAAAAAAAAAAATTAAAAAAGCTTGGTCCTGACCGTGTTGCTGTCGTGTAATTCTACATAAATACAGTTGAGGTGATGTATTCTGTTCTATGAGATGAGGTCAGTTTATGCTTTTTTAAAAAGAGTAACGGTAATATTTTTTGTTAAACATCCCTTTTCCTTACTATAAATTGCATTCACAATGGCTAGCATACACTAGAAGAGAAAAAAAGCGATTATGGGAAGCCTGTGCTGGCTCAGCAAGAGAAGTAGGTCCATTCAATAAAAAAGCACTCAGCTCTTTTAAGTAGTTATCGACCAAAAGGCTGTGTGGCTTATCTAGTTAATTGCCATTACATTTATACAGAGGAGGAAAAAGGATTTTCAATTTCCCAAAGAGAGATAAATTGTACAGGAGTAATAGTTTCACCTTAGTCATGTAACATTCTTAGACATTGACATCAGAGCTCAGTGCATTTCCAATGCAAATAGAAATGCTCATCGTTAGTCACTCTGCTTGCAGGGTGTGGATTTTACTGTAATATTGTAGACATTTTCTCCAACACAAACGCTTAATTGTCATTCTTGTAGAAGCTACTTTATCAACTGATATTTAGTCAGCAGCGAAGCATATCACTAAAACAATATCCAACAATCAGCCCAACTTTCAACCTGGTCTCTTACTGGCCAAACAAATTGAGGAAATAATGCTACTTACTGTAAACTGCTTCCACTGAAGTGCTCACTGTCACTGTCAGAATCAAAACTTCTGCTATGTGGAAACTGGGAAGAGATAAGGTGGGTCATTAAGGAGGTATTTTGTGTTGTTGTCATAGTTGTGTCATGGCTTGTAGTAGCGGATGTAAATCAGACATTAATGGCTTTTGGTTACTCAATATTGTGATCAGTACTTCCTGTAAAACACTTGCACAAAGGATTTCTGTCTTTTGGCTCCACGAGTGTATAAACAGTAATTCTTTGTTGGTTTTATCTGTTCCTTTACTTTGCACATTACCACTGCATATGCATCTTTACATGCTCAACACTTGCTAATAATACAGAGACATCAGATCTGTCTCTGGCATCTGTGACATGCTTCCAATGCACTTTAACTGGGTGCCATACTGAAGAGTGCAGGTTTACAGTGGATGAACTACACATGGTACTACGGTGATAACTGTCTGAATAATATACTTTTAAGTATTATCCATGTGTACTGGTGCAAAGTAATGGACGAAAGTCATACACTTTAATGTTACAGGTCTGCTAAGCAGCAAGATTTACAAAATTCTTAAAAATACTTATTTCTTCTTCATCTTCTTCCGGTGTTGGTTGATGGTTCTCTAAGAATGGCCAATAATCGGCCGAAGAAAGAATTATTGCAGGATCTCACTTTGACAGTCAATCAGTATTCGTATTACCGGTATATGTGATCTTTAAGTGTACTGATCATTTTAAGGCATACTCCTGAGTGCCCATTTTAAATGATAATGTCAATGTTATACTGTACTGGGTAAACAATGGTGTATATTTGTTGTAGGTTTACACAACAAATAAAACAAACACACACAAAACAAAACGTTCAGAAATATGTATTTGGCAAATTGGTTCTCTTTGCTTCTTGTCCAGTAGCATTTCTATAGTTAAAAAAAAATCCCTTTTAAATGTTGCCCAATTATACCCAAGAGGCATTTTTAGGATGAGTAATGCAACTTCGAAAGTATGTTGTTCCAATTTGTATCGTTACAAACCTTCATTGCCTATGCCAAACGGTTTATTCTGACGCTGCCGGTGACTCTTGTGCAATCATCTGTGGTTGGCATCGCCGTCTCATCAATAAAGGAAATCTCAATGCAAAGAAATATCGAGATGTATACAACCCACACCCACACCCGCACTCCCAACTCCCTCCCCCGCCCCCCTTTCCTCTCCTCTCTGAGTCTCCAGTCTCCTCGTCTTGCTCCTCCCTCAGCTCCTCCCCTGACAACCCGGCCGCTGTCTGTGCTGATTCTGGGAGTACTGAAAACCGGCAGTTAGTCACAGGAGTTCCTTTCGGATGAGAAAGCGAATTGTTGCCCATTGGACTAAAAAAAGATAGGGACTTTTAAGCGTATAACCTTGATAGTGTGATGTACCGACACGCACCCACCAGTGGGTAAACTCGGAGCCTAACAAGTGAACAAGTAAACAGCTGCCGTTGGGATCGCTCCGACATCTGCAGCATACATTGGTCAGTCTTTTTTTTATGGGATTATCATTACAAAAGAACGTGAGGACAAAGCCCATAAACACTGCTGTTGTTGCCTAAATTATTCGCGCTTACTCAGAAGACACGTGGGTTTTTTTTTTTTTTTTGAAAAGCTGCATTGGTGATGAACACAGCAGAGGGAGAGAACGCTTTCATTCATTGGACCTAAAGTAAGTGGGATTGTTTTATTTGCTGTCTGTATTTCTCTGATGCACTGTTTGAACTGTACTGTATATGTTGCCGATGTGGAAAATGCTCCACGTACACTAATTTGTCGCTGTACACTGTATAGTATAGTTACAGTACAGTACAGTACTTTGAAAACTACGTTTATCACTGCACAAATAAAACTGACTTAACACTTATGAAACTGAAACATTCATATGTTAAAACCTATCCAACACCGTCAGAAGAAAGTTAGCACCATTTCCATTTTCTTTCTGAAGCTCCTAAATTGGATTCCATTTGAGAATTTTACTTGTGTTATCAGTGTCAGAGTATGTCCAAAAATAGTACAATTGTACGCTTGAAACCACACAATCTTCTTTTTTCTTTTTTTTTCCAAATGAGGTTTGCTGTTGTTTGAAGGCAAAGACATAAATATTGCGTCATTGTCCAAATACATCCATCCATCTATTTTTTTTAAATACCACTTAGCTTGTTCTGAGTTCACACGACACATCCAGAGACAGATAACCTTTACTTTAAAATTCACACTGTTACTGATTGGGGACTGAACCCACACAAATGTACCACTTCTACATCTATTCGCAGGAAATATGGACAGAAACCGTCCGTAATTGGTGAGTTTCTGCCATTAATTGACAATATAAGCCGCTCCACTCCATTAGTGGAATGTGCCATTTGGTTATTCAGAGTGTTACAAAACGAGAGTGCCGGAGTGCGCTTCTGCTGCTCTGATTTTGGAGACACCAAGCGGCCAGAGCGTCTGGCAGGATGAATTGAAACCGAACAAGCAAGATGTGAGGGTGGCGGGCTAGCGGGGGATTTATACGACCTCATTCACCATTCCTGTACCATGGCTACAATTCAAGTTGGTAAATTGTAAACTTTTTTTCTGAAGTTGGCGGTTGTTTAGCGGCGCGATCAAAAGAGCCACAGTAGCTAATGCTTACAGTAGTCTTGCTCGTCACGACAAAAATAACACGAGTGCGGTCATAAATTTATAGAAGGGGAGGACACTCTGCCTCACGCAACAATTCCACTCTCAGAGTATTGATAAGGCGTCAGAGTGAATTTTTGAATGCATCCCTAATTTGTGCCAAGGGATAAAGTTATAATTACCAATATTGATCGTAAACACCACAAATAGACCACAAATTATGATCCTGTAACATGTTATGTTACATGTCACTTTAGGAGGTGTTTTAGCAAGCCATTCACTGTTCTGTTGTGCTGAGTGCTGATTTTCCAAGTGTGTCGAACGCATCACTGCCACCGGCGTGTGTGACGAAAAGATAATTTCCATATCATTGCTGGCAAGCTCGCTCAGCTTGCTTGTTTTTGTTGTATGGAATCATGGGACATTTAACAACTGTAACTTCAGAACTTTTCTTGTGACTCTTTTACCATGTCATAGAAAATCATGAGTGGGCAGGACAGGCAGAAAACCCCTTTCTGCTTGTAACAGGGGCTATGTTCTGGGGGGAAAAAAATCTGTGTATGGGTGAATTCATGATTACTTGATTGTTGTAATCTAAAAGTACCCAATTTTTGTGTTCATAATATTGACAATAATATCTTTATTATTCTTCCACTGTCTGCAGCAGTGTTGTTTCTTCATTGATGTATTGAAACCCAATCAAATAACACAATGCAGGTATCTCTTTGGTCTAAATTACTAATTACAGATGCTTGTTCATATTTTTCCTATCTCATCCCCAATACAGTATTGCATGCGTTAAAGAGTATTAAGCAGTACAGTCCTCATTTATTTTCCACTCAGCAACACATTTCAACTTTTCTCAAGTCCCAAACAAGTTTGAATAAAAGTTGGTCTGTATAAATGCAATATTTACACCAGTTCAAACATTGCCCCCACATGTATGCAAGTTCTGTTTATAGACGGTCAGCACACACAGGTCCAGTTTTGCAGACACCTCCCCAGCACCTACTGACATAAGCAGACCTCACTGTCTCTGTCTACTGTTACATTGCTATTCCTGGTTACCACTGTGACCCAACCAGGCCTTGTGACAGAAGTAGAAACAAGCTTCACTCTTCATGATTGTGGCATCTAAAATCCTTTTTGAGGTTCATACTTTATGGAAAATTTTAAGGGGGCTCTTCAGTATCAGGCGTTTTTAGCTTCCATAGATTCCTGAGGTAAAATGTTGAAAACTCACTAACTAACCAACTAACCAGCTAACTAACATTGTAACAACAACTCCAGGATGCAAATAAGGCTTACTATGTTTTGGGAAAATGCCATTTAGCACTGAACATTATTATGTATTGAATTGTCGAATTGGAGAAATTTGTGAAAATAAAAATGACTGATGATCAGACAGATGATCAGATGGAATTTTGAGATCAGGGAGTGCGCGATAAGATGAACATGTTTTGAAATTATCTTGCGACCC